TAGCGACAGGTGTAGGATCTCATGACAAGGGGGCTAGTTAGAGAAAGCACAAGCCCGTGTGCATTATCTGCCCATGATGGTGACCAAAAAGGATGGATCGTGAAAAATGTACATCGATAGCTCAGTCATCAACAAGATTACCATCAAGTTTTGATTTCCCATGCCCCCCTTAGATGATCTCTTAGACCAGCTATACAAATCCACTTTCTTCTCCAAGGTCAACTTACACAGCGGATATCACCAAATACGGATGATGCCAGAAGACTAGTGGAAAACCACATTCAAGACACAGGACAAACTTTATGAGTAGACTGTTATGCCTTTCGGCCTGTCAAATACACCTAACACTTTCATGACATTAATGATCCAATTATTTCGGCCTCACATTGGAAAATTTGTCATTGTCTACTTTGACGACATTCTAGTATACTGTTTGTCGGAGGAGCATCACTTGCATCACCTAAGGGCAGTATTTTAGATACTGTGAGTCGAACAACTATACGCCCATTCGAAGAAATTTCACTTCATGACAAGCCATGTATGTTTTTTGGGTTACATTGTGTCTAGTGCAAACATTCAAATTTATCCTGTAAACATAGAGGCCATCATCAATTGAGTTGCACCTCAATCATTCGCCGAGATGAGACAATTTTGGGGCTGACATCCTTCTATAAAAAATTCATCAGAAACTTCAGCACTATCACCTCCCCTCTGTCTGAACTTCTGAAAAAGGAGTTTTCTTGGACAACAACAAACCAGGACAGTTTGACACACTAAAGGAAAAGATGACTCAGGTACCCGTGTTAGAACTATCAGGCTTCAAACAACTTCTTGAGGTAGACTGTGATGCCTTCGGCATAAGGATTGGAGCAGTGCTAAGCTAGGGAGGATACCCCATCACTTTCTTCAGTGAGATGTTTGTCCAGGAGGAAATACTTGACATACCATAGAATTCTTCGCCATCATAAGAGCTCTGGAGCATTGGAGTCATTACCTATTGACAAACAAGTTAACACTATTTATAGATCATGAGGCCCTAAAATTCCTCAATAGCCAGAACAAACTAAAGGGACTACATGACACCTGGGTGAAATTTCTAGCCTCATTTCAGTTTGTGCTAAAACACAAGGCGGGGAGCAAAAACTGCGTAGCCTATGCACTGAGTCGACATCTATTGATCACATCCTTGCAGGCTCAAATTGTGGGCTTCGAGCTCTTAAGAGATTTATATGAAAGAGACGAAGATCTCAAAGACATATGAGAGCAATGGCAGGAGAAGCCAACAGGGCAATATTATTGCCCAGATGGATACTTGTTCTACCAGAGTTAGTTATGCATTCCTCAGTATTCATTAAGAGAAACCATTGTCCAAGAGAGCTGCAATAGAAGATTAGCAGGTCATTTTGATAGGTACAAGACCCTTGGCCTCGTAAGAGAGTATTGTTTTTGCCCAAACTGTCGAGAGATGTGGAGCGACATGTCAGACAGTGCAGGATTTGTCACCTAGAAAAGACATGAGCTTAGAACACAGGATTGTACATGCTAGTTCTAGTACTAGAAGCACCATGAGTCAATGTCAGCATGGATTTTGTGGTGGGACTTCCAAGGACCCAAAGGAACAAGGCCTCCGCTTTGGTTGTGGTAGACATATTCTCTGAGATGGCCCACTTTGTACCCTGTCACCGAACACTGGACGCTTTGCACATTGTCGATCTATACTTCAGAGAAATTGTAAGGTTGCACGGAATTCCCAAGACAATCACCTCCGATAAAGATGTCAAATTTCTGAGCCACTTATGGGGGACACTATTGGGAATGCTGGGCACCAAACTCCGATTTAACTCAACACTTCATCCACAAACAGACAAACAGAGATAGCAAAGAGCCTTGTTAATCTCATGAGGAGTTTTGTGGGAAAAACATAAAATAGTGGGATCTTATTCTACCCCAACCTGAGTTCTCCTATAACTGATCCATCCGCCAAATTACTGAACGAGCTCCCTTTGAGATTGTGTATGGACACAATCCGCTTACACCTTTAGAATTGGTGCCGCTCCTACCAACATTGGAGACTAGCAAAGATGCTCAAAACAATTTCACAAGATTCAAAAGCTCTATGAAGAAGTTGGCAAGAAGATTGCTAAGCAAAATCGTAAATATCAGACAGAAGCAAAAAAATTCGGGAAGAAAATAACATTTCAGGAAAGCGACCTTGTATGGATTCTGTTGAGAAAGGAAAGATTTCCCGTCAGATCATTCGGGACGCTTAAGATCAGAGCAGATGGATCTTTTAGAGTACTTCAGAAGTTAAAAAAAAAACGTTATAAGATCGATCTGCCTGGGGAGTATAACATTTTTGCCACGTTTAACGTCATTGACTTAACACCATAATTTGAAGAGCCTGGAGCTTTTACAAATGAAGTCGAAGCTTTCTCAATCTAGGAGATTGACGCGAGAGCTAAACACAGCTCCCAGTTGCAGGCGTTGAATGCGCTCTATTGCGGGGCGCTTTCGAAACAGCGGGGTCAAAAGCTCCGCGAACTGTCGCGAAGCGGGAAAGGGCGAGAGGCTGACCGCGATGCACAGGAGTCTCGCAGGCAAACTCTCGCGAAGGTGTAGGAGGGTTTGTAAGCTGCCGCACTTGTGTTGGCTTTTTTGGATTCTTCTGCCTTCCTTCTGTGTAGGAGTCTATAAATATTTGTTTTCTGTGTGTAAGAGTTCCGTTTTTGTTGTGTTGTCTTTAGTTCTTCTGCATGGAGTCTCTTCTCTCTTGTTAGGGCTATATCCAACGACAGGTGATGCTCGGTTGTTTCTTGCTTCAAGTTGGTGTTGTACACTTCAAATCTCCTTCACTTCTTCTCCACGACCCTTCTCCTACCACTCTTCGTAGCTGCCTACCACGCTATATCCCTTCACCAGTCTGCCGCCATCTGCACTTCTCCCCACAGCCTTGTTGTCCCGCCTACCTACAATCATCCAAACACTCTCCCAACTTACCCAATAAACCACCCTACCTTCCCCATCTTTCTTTACCACCCCGCCGACATCACCACCGCCTTCGGATCTCTTTCTACATCCCTAATCGGGGATCATCTCTTATTGTATCTATTTTCTGTTTGAGTCGTGTTAACCCGTTTTCTATATTAATTAAATGTTTACTTTTGTGATTCGCTTTTCCTTCTACTAGTTCTGGTATCATGCAGGCTCCCGCATCTCGTGTGGGAGATGCACCCGCATCATAGCAGCTTCTGAATTTGCTCTTAGGACTATGAAAGATACTGATACTGTAGTTAACCAAATCACGTCACAAAACAAAGTTACAATAAAGACTCAATAGAAAGAATGACAACACACAAAGCTACAGTGCAAAACAAATGATCTCAAATAAAGACTCAACAAAGAAAACAAAACAACTGGCGAGGAGGTAGTCCGGAGAGATGGTGTGAGGTCGGCTGCTGCGGTGAAGGTTGGAGTGTTGGGTTGAAGTAGCAGCGAATGGCAGCCTGTAGGAGCTAGGTAAGAGAGGTGGCCTGCTGGGGTGGGATAGCGACACAATACCAGCTGGGGCAGGGAAGATGTGGTCTGCTGGGATAGGGCGGCAACACAATGTCTGCGGGGCAATGGGCAAAAATGGCGGCTGGCGCCGAGGATTAGAGGCAGAGAGCCATAGGGTTGCCGGGAGGAGATCTGCAATGGGCAGGAGGCGTTGAGAAGACTGGAAGGCTACTGGATGGAGGTATCAAGAGCAGGAAGTGGGGGCGGTCTGCTGTGGGAAGTAATACTGCTGGCTGGATGGCCGATCGAGAGTTTTTGGAGGGTCGGCTAACTGTAGGAAGGGGCGTGTTGTGCTGCTCAGGGAACAGGGAGGATCAAGAACTGCGACTTGTTAGGAAGCTGCTAGGGAGGGGATTGGAAGGAGCAGCGGGAACTGTGGCCTGTAGCTCCCCTACAGAGAGAAGATCGAAAGGAGTAGCGGGTTTGCGGCCTGCAGGGGAGCTGCGGGGAAGCGATTGGAAGGTACAGCAGGGGGTGTGTGGTCTGCAGGGAAGCTGCAGGGAGGTAGGCAGCGGGGGCTTGGGTTTGTCGGGGTGCAGGATGGAGTTGGATGACAAAGATAATTACCATTTCGGATGGGATTAAAGTCAGAACACCTACCTCATCGTCAAATACAACACTTAAGAAGGGAAAACACTAAGACAATACTGAATTCAGATTCAAAATCAAGACTCCTAACTCTAAGAATATCACCTCCTATTTATAATGAAGCTTGACCTACTTTAGGAAACACTTAGAATAAGAAATAAGATTAAAATGGTATTTCAAATTTAGGAAAGGGTTTTAAAATAGGGAAGAAGAATAAGATAAAATCAGGATTACGGGTTTTAGAAAAGGATTTAAATTAAAAAGGGCCTAGGAAGGGAAGTAAGAGAAGAAGGAAAGGAAAGAAAAAGCAAGAGAGTGAAAAAGGGAAAGGGGGGGAATAGAAAGGAGGGGGCGACAGCTCCCCTCCCTTGAGGACCGACCGGTCCTCCCCCGAGCCCTATGTTAGGTACAAAAAGCTATGAAGCCTATGAGTGATCAAATCTTGATTGTTCAGATGTGAGATTTCTCAGTGCTATTGACGTTTTTCACCAATAACTCAGAGAAATTTTTATTTTTTTGCCTAGCAACCAATTTAATAATAATTCATCTATTTTTTTATTTTCTATTATTTCAAAATTATCATGTATATTATTTCTATCGTTTATTGAGTATTTTTTCATCTTGTTTGTTGGTGGTGAATGCCACAACAAATTTAGAGGATTTTAATCTCATTTGATGGTGGTGAATGCCACAAGAAAAGTAGAACAATTTTTTTTTTGGAAATATTATCGCACCAGACTAATTTGTAGTTTAATCATACTTATTTTTAATATCAGTTTAATTACTTAGTTGTTTTTGCTAAGATAGTTTAATGGCCCTTGAGATGCTTGATTAGCAGCTACTTTTATGATGAACAGATTCTTGTAGAGGTCATTGGTAATGGCAATGGTATCACTGATGGTGGATGTATGAGTTCTGTTCAGGAGAATGGATCTAACGAGAGGGATTCGGGTTCCTTGGCTGTAGAGCCATGTAGGTCTAGCATATCAGTCGTTGAAGGCTTGTCCATGTGCAAGAATATTTCCATAAGCTGCAGTTCAGAGATCTCACAAAGCCAACAGCTTGCATCCCCAAGCAGTGAGTTGGATGGTGTGCATGGCACAAGCACCATTGCTACGAGGGGAACTCCTTTAGGTCTTAATGGACTCCTAAACCTTGGAAATACTTGCTTCATGAATAGTGCAATACAATGTCTTGTCCACACACCAGAGTTTGCTCGATACTTTCGGGAAGATTACCATAAAGAAATTAATTGGAAAAATCCACTAGGCATGGTTGTAAGTATTGGTTTATTTATTATTTCTTATATTTGGTCCTTGGAAATTTTAGTACTGTGAAAATTGGTGGATTTTCCAATTTGAGTATTTTTTTTAATGATATGATATTATGTTGTTTCTTCACTGGGTTGCAGTTTACTTGTCTGTTTTTTTTGCAATGAAAGGCTAACTTTTAATAATTGTTGTCATCTCCCCAAGTTCTTGTGAAACTTTGTGGATAATAACCTGTTATGCATGATTTGAAGTTCTCAACCGACATTATGACTTAATAGAACGAGTCCACAAAGATTGATTCACTTCATGATTTGGAAGGGCGTTTATGGTGCATTGGTGTTTTGTTCTCTGTTTTTTTTTTCTTATAAAACATGGAAGTTGGTGGAAGAAAGAGTGTGGATATGTTTCTTATCTACATTTTCAACAACGAAGTTTTCTTGTTTACACTTGGTAGTAGTTCTAATGGTATCATTGCCACATTCGAATGATATTGAAATATAGTTGGCATTAAGCTATAGCAAGTGTATACTTTATTTTAGGTTTTAAAATATTTTTTTAGTCTTTTGTATGTTGAAGGCATTTTTATATCACAAAATGTTCCAGCAGAAGTTGTCCAATACGAATGACAAAAACTTGAACAGGAGTGACATATTGGCCTTATATCACACCATACGATATTTTATCGTGTTAAAAACTACGTGTTACTTTAATTTTTTATTTTTTATTACTGTTAGCCTTTGTTTAACAGGAGCCAATTGTTAACGGTTCCAGTTGAATGGGGATATCATTTGATTACCAAACATAATTTATTCTTAATCATGGCCCCTGAGGAATAGAGATGTGGCACCCATATACTTTGGTTTTAATAAAAAAATTGTAATTTGCAGAGTTTCATTTTATTCGTACCTACTTAGGATAAACCATACAAATTTAGCTGAATATTCTCAGATATAGAAGTAAACTTAGTTATTATTGGTGTGTTGAACTGGGCCTTCAAGTGATTTATCGGTCACTTTTATTATCTCTTTTCAAAATTTCCTTCTCAACTATTTTGAGATAATTCTTATTGAAAGGGAATGGCGGCATGTTGCAAGTCTGCCCATGAATGGAGTAGTGTGAGACTCTAATATACCTTTATTATATTTTGGCTGCCCATAGTTCTTCCTCTTCCCTTGCACAAGAAATTCGTATCACTCCCTCGAATTTCTGGATTTAAATAACTTCATTCCTGGTTCAATAAAACTTTACATCAAACACTCACACAAACATATATAAATATATTATTTTATTAATTTACTTAATAAAATTTCCATTAAACATATTATTAAACTCACCTTTGCCCGCGGTTGGCCTGCATGTTTCTCCTCTACGCGAGCCACAACCTTCTTCCCCTATTCCTGTATGGTATAGGCTAAACTCCACTGGTCGAGCACGAGCTTCAGCTCTCTTTCCTTCGGTCGCGGCTCAACTAAAGATTGCAGAAATCGATGCTGGCTAGGCTTCTTTTATTCTCGACGGAGCCGATCACTCTCTACTTCCTTCAGCTTCTTCTTCTACTCCTTCGACTAAGGTTCGACACGGCAGAACACAGCGAGCACTTGAGGACAACGTCAAAGTTGACCTTTCCTTCCTCAATCGATCGGCTAGAGCTCTATGTTGTCTTCTACAAACCAAGCGGTGAGTTCCTTCTCTTCTTCTTTCTCTTCTTCTCTTCTCTTACTACAGTTTGTCTCTCATTGGTTCGAATGAGGGAAAATACCGAAATAAGCATGAGATTACTTTCAGGCGAAGTGGTGCATCTTCTCTAATCGCCGACACTTATATTTTTACTTACTATTTAATATTATTATTATCATTAATATTATTATTAGTATTATAAATTTTGTTATGGAAATTAAATAGGAAATTATATCCAACCAAATGGAAATAGGAGATAACTACAAAAATGACGCATGACACTCGACTAGAGTGGATCTAAAGCTGTGATGGTGGCTATTTGGGGCTTGGAAAGGTGGCTGCAAGGTCAGAAAGCGGAGCAGGGGGCGGGTAAAGTAGGGAAACATTGATCCCTTGTTGATTTGGATGGTGACAGCAAGGCAGGAGGTGTCATACAACATTAAAACAACATGGAGAGGAGGTTCCTATGCAGGATGGCCATACAACAAGAAAATAATAAGATGGGATGCATTTCGGGCATCAGTATGCACGAACAATGGCTGGAACTACAAAAATGGTTGGATGGGCTGCAGTTCGGCGTGCGGAAGCGAGGAGCAGCAGTTGGGAATGGCGTGGGGAAGATGGGAGGAGAGTGGAGAACCCTGTGGGTGGGATACAGTTGAAGCACCACTTGACCCTCAGATACAACTCTAGAAGGAAACATAGGACCGCCAAGGGTTGCCCTGAACAAAAAACAAGATAAAACTCCAAATTCTAATAAGACAAAACAATATATACTGATCCAAGGTAGCAAGCAGTAGCCCTACCTTAATGGGAGGCAGTCCCATGTTGACCAGAGGGCTGGCCAACCCTCGATTTTTTTTTTGACATAACCATTTGGAGTCGCGCCCAGCACGATTTTGCATCCCCCATATGCGTGACACCCGCTTTTGTTCCTCAATGCTTCTGTCTCTTCATACTATGAAATTTGGTCGGACTTGTTGAAGGTAGTTGAGCTGCTGCGTCTTCCTAGTGTTGAAGTGCTTTTGACTACATCTCTAGAAGTACCCGAATCCCACTGCTGAATGCACTGTTCCACAAAACACTTGAGAAGGTTTTCCCAATTGCGAGTAACCATCTGAATTTGTCCTACCATCTATGTGCACCCTGTTGAACTGAATTGGAAGTTCGTGCCAATTGTATTTTGCAGAATCCTCCAAAAGGGCGAAGGTTGGCTCATCTCTTTTTGAAGTGAAGGAAGACTGAACCTCCCCCGACGGTGGTGGCTCTGGCGGCAAGCCATTATTCAGTATATTCTACAACTATCTCTGTATTGGTTTTCTTGTGTTTGATATCGGTTCTTCCATCATGCTACCCTCTACGAACACCAAAACTAATCTAGCTAGTGCTTCTCCATTGGCAAGAGCACCTTCAATCTTATACTTCGCAAATGGAAGGAGAATTATTTGTTTGCCATCTGTTGTGAACGAGTAAATATTCTTGAATCCATCATGTTGCGTTTAACCCAACAACAACGGGGAAATAATATTATTGTTGCATCCAAATAGGAAATTACAACCACACAAACGAAAATAGGAAATAATAACAAACATGAAATGCAGTTAGGGTGGATCTAGGGTGGTGGTAGTGACCAATAGGGGCTTGGAAAGGTGGCACCTTGGTAGGGAAGGGGAGCTGACGGGTGATTACAATAGGGAAACAATAGTGATTGCTGTCCTGAGTGGCACAAGTAGGCAGGATAGTTGGGCAACAGTAAAACAACAAGGTGAAGGATTGTCGAACAGCTGTAAAATAGCAAGGTGAAGGGCTTTTTGGGCGGTGGTTGCTATGTAGGTTGCTTGGAACAGTGGAGACAACAAGGTAGAGGGAGGGGAAGGCGATGTTCGTGGCTGAAAGGTTGAAAATTGTAGGAAAGACAACAACAACTGTTGTTCTGTGCAGTTCGCAGTAGAGGGGTCAGAAAGTGATGTGGGAAGGGTTCAAAACGGTTGAGATAATTACCACTTGGAGAGGGAGATATAGCCGGAACAACACTAACATTTCTCGATGCAACCCTAGAAATGAAAAACAAGAGATGCCGACACTTGTTTCAAACACACTCAATCCAAATCTAAAAATCTAAACCCTAATACAACACATGTATAGGAAAGTACTTGAAAGGAAAAAAATGATAAAAGGATAAATGTTGGAAATTAGAAGGAAAATAAAGGAAGAGGCGTTCGGGTCAGTTCTGCCCCGATCGTTGGAGCTCGGTGCTCGATCCTCTCTGATAGGGGACCGTGCAACCCCTTTATGCCCCCACTTTATCTCCCGTGATTGTGGTAGCTCTGACCTCATCCGTCCAAGTTTATTTCTTCTCATGGTATGGAGTCAACTCCAAAACATCTATGTCCTTTCAAAGTTTATCATGATAAAGTAAATAGCCATCTTTTTTTGGCATAGTTAGAACTAGGACTATTCCTAGTTGTGTATTTTCATAAATCAAGTCTCGAACAATTAATTGTGTAACTTGTTTCTTCAACTTCTTGTACTCAACTCTGGGTATCCAATAAACAAATTCATTTTGAGGAAATAGCTCTGAAATGAAATCTGTGGTATGCTGGACTACTTTCAATGGCAACTACCCAATAAGTAAACTATCGGTCTTGATATCTTGCAATCCCTTGAATAGGGATTATCTCTTTTCAGGTATTAGCTCATCAGACTCACTATATTTTATAATAATTAATGCTAATCAATCGAGAGTTTCTCACATGGGATCGACTTGAATCACTAGCATTCCTTTCTCCTCAACTGGAAGTTGCGACTCCTATCTAACGTCTTTACCCTCTTCGATATTGTTGACCATCTCCTCAACTGCTCCTTGCTTAATAAAATAGATCATACTCTTGTTTGGGCAAGCTCATGCACTGTGTCCAAATTCATGGCATTTGATGTTCTTGGTTGGGATGAATTTGATAATTTCGTTGCCTCTATCTGTACTCCATTATGAACTAGTTTCTCCTCTGTTGGGTGTACTCTTGTCGCTTGATCCTGGTGTTGAGCTCTATCTTTTAGATGTGGCGGTCACCCGGTGAGGTTGTCTTGAGAACATATCCTGTCTGTAATAAACTGGTAGGTATTTGCGCTGCATTTCTTGTTTCATCTTGGACCAAATAGTGATTTTGTTTTCTTCTTCCTGCCGGCATAGGTGCTTTAAATTTTCCCATCATAGCAATACACCCTTCTTTAACTTGATGGCTATTACTTTACTGTGATAGAGGCTCAAAGGCACGTTCTCTTTGTTGGAGCCATTCGATAAACTCATCCGGATCCATATAGTCGTCAAAATATGGGAAGTCACTGTGCACTCCAAAATTTTTGTTCTCCTCTTATATTCCATGTCAAACCTCTGGGGTATTGGTACTTCATTATTGGAAATTATTTTGCGGAAATGATTCACTACATCATTTTGATTTGACGAATCACCATTGTGGCTACGAGTGACCCTTCTGGATTGTTTTTCTCGAAGGCTTCAAGCCTCTATCACAGTGGGGGGATTTGGTGTTGTATGTTTTCCATGGAATGTTTCTGGACATTTCTTTGCGGGTATTTCATAAGTGAGATTGTGTCATTTCTCCAATCAGGTTTCGACAATTGTCTTTTTGGCGGCGTAACTAGGGTTTATGTTTGGGGGGTGAAAGAAGGTGTGTGGGGGTGGTCTTGAGTGGAAATAAAAGTTTTCGGGGGCTGATGTGCAGAAATCAATAAGGGGAAGGGTTTTGGGTGGAGATTGGGTTGCGTATTGGCGGATTTAGGTAACTTTAGGATTGGACTAGGGTTAGACTAGCTCTGATACTAAATGATATCGAAATTTAATCAAATAAAAATGGGAAAACAATATTAGTGTTGCATTCAATTAGCAAATTACAACCATACAAATGAAAATAGAAAATAATAGTAAATACAACACACAACATATTGCTAGGGTGGATCTAGGGTGGTGGTGGTGATGACCAGTAGGGGCTTGGAAATGTGGCGGCCAGGTAAGGAAGGGGAGCAGAGGGGCGATTACAGCAGGGAAACAATAGGTGCTTGCAATCCTGGGCGACAACAAGTGGCCGGGTAGCAGTAAAACAGCAAGGCGAAGGGGTTTCTCGGCGACGGCTGTGATGTAGGATGGCCGGACAGCGGTAACACAGCAAGGCAAAGGGGTTTCTGGGAAACAACAATGATGTAGAATGGCTGGAACAGTGACGGAAGCAAAGTGTAGGGAGGGGAGGGCGATGCTAGCGGCTGAAGGGCGGAAACCTGCAGGAAAAACGGCAAAAACAGCTGTTCTGGACGGTCTGCAGTAGAGAAGGCGACGGTGAGCGATATGGGAAGGATTTGGAAGGGTTGAGGGAGGATAATCACCACCTCGGAAGCAAGATACAGTCGGAGCAACACTCGGACCATTGGAGACATGCGCTAATATGGATGGATGCTACAATTTATAGATTCACTTTAGTTCTTTATTTCTGTTCAATACAGTGGAGTAAGGATCGATAAAAGTATGATAATATGGATTAATTTATGATAATGATTGATTAGTGGGTAGCAAGTGTCTTTGTTGAACAAGATTTTAACGATCAAATTATTTATTATTTAACAGATGGTAGTTGTATTTAAGATACACGTGGCACCTTTAGCTTGGAATAAAAAAGGCTAATGAAGCTAGACATTAATAAAATTTGCATATGGCTGCTGGCTGAGATAAATCATTTGTTCCTGCTGGCTGAGATATGTCATTTGTTCCTGCTGGCTGAAAGCTTCATGACCATTATGTGCTGGAATCTTATGTTTTAAACTTATTATGATTTTAAAATCCGCTTTAACGCCTTGTGATGTATAATTTTTTCCATTTTTTGAGGAGATCATGCTTCTCCATGCAGTTTTTTTAAGCTGGAAGCTTCTCTGATGAGCATATGTGTGTATGTTACTAAATGCGAATGCTGGCTATATGAAAATCCTTTATGTGTGGCTGCTAATTATAAACATTGATGAATAGGGTGAGCTTGCTATGGCTTTTGGGGATTTACTAAGGAAACTATGGGTTCCTGGGCGAACATCAGTTTCTCCTCGACCCTTTAAAACAAAACTTGCTCGTTTTGCGCCTCAGTTTAGTGGATATAATCAACATGACTCTCAGGTATTAGCTTTTATGTTCTGTAATATATCTTGTTGATGCTGCTTTTTTATAAATAATAGTGTATGGCTCTTTTCAGGAGCTTTTGGCATTTCTTTTGGATGGACTTCATGAAGATTTGAACCGTGTAAAGCATAGACCTTATATAAAGTCTAAAGATGCTGATGGGCGACCTGATGAAGTGGTTGCAGATGAATACTGGGCAAACCACATTGCTCGCAATGATTCTATCATCGTTGATGTGTGCCAGGTACTCATTTTTTCCTTTACTGTTAATTTGTTTATTTTTAACTATTCTGCCACGTGCTTTTGAATGTGTTGTGCGTACATCAATCACCAGAATTATTATTGCCTTCCATATGCACATTATTTGAGTTTTGTCAACTTTTAGGGGTTAGCCTCTCAATGCTTTGCTCTTTTTTCGTCTTATTTAACAATTAGATCTAATTTTTTTTTCCAAAGTTTGTTTTCAACAATTAGGTTTATCCTACATCATTTAACATCTTTTTCTTATCATTCTTTCTAGACTTGTTTCTTATCGCAGTTTTAACCTTTTTAGTCTTAGTGGTGGACTTTATGAGTTTTTATTTTCATTTGTTTGTTGACAATTTTTTTTTATTAACTTATATCCATATAACATTTGTTGTTAATATCCTTTGTTACACAATTTATTTCTAGATCTATGATGTTCTTTTATTTAGTTGTTTGGTTGTGATTGCCATGATTGCTTCATAATGCTACGGCCCCCACCGCTCACCCCCAACCCCCTTCAAAAAAAAAATCTTGATGTGTTGGCATGAGTTCACATAGAGGTATTGGGCGTAGTGCGCAGTTTCATATGACTCTTGGTTTTGTCTCTTATCTTTTTAAGGGTATGCTTAAGACAGCTTTCTCACATTTTTGCTTTTGAGATATCAACCGTAGTCCTGTTTGTATGTAGCTTCCTTGCTATTTTCTTAGAAATTTCAATGAGAAACAACTTCTAACCCGATCAGCAACAATATGATAGCTATAAGAAGTTGCTATTCAATTTTTTTAGAAAGAAAAAAAATTGTAATGCCCCATAACAACTTAAAAAAAATCAACTTTATCCACAATAATTCTTCAATAAGTTTTATAAATAGTTGTGCCAATCCTGAATAAAGCCTTTATGCCATCACATTGAGGGTCTGTTTGAGGCAACTGCAGCTTAGCTACCCCAGGAAGCTGCTGCTAGGAAGCTGGCTTACTGTTTGTTTCAACTGATTGAAAACAGCTGTGTGGTTGTTGTTTCTGGCAAATGATCATTCTACTCCTGTTTAGTAATATTATTTATAACAGAACTGTTATAGAGATATATTTGATACTTCAGAAGGAGAAATTCACTTCAGAACAGTGCAAAAATTTCGATACACACCTCACTTAACAATGAATAACAAGAGTGCCAAAAAAGTCAAAAACTATTAAAATTACAAATAGTATAAGGATTTTATTGTTCTTAACATGCAGACGATGTATGCCCTGTACTACATTGGTCTTCAGTGATTGCATTCATTCATGATCACTGTCGGCAGTGGAATTTGTTGTACTGTCTGCCCACCGGAAGAAGTCACACTGCTCTGCGATGATCCGTGGGTAGCTGTAGAACTGTCTCTCATAGCTATGTGCCCGACGTGACGTCTGTAGAGAAGGTTGTAGTCTGCAGTGACGGAGCACCCGTTGCGAGGTCCCTGAAATCCTGAAGCTTATATTTCCTAAATGATTAAAAAGACAATTCATTAGTCATAACAGAAGTTTTAATTACTAAAAAAAAGTAATTAATTACAATTTTTGCAGGCGTGAGGTCATCAGAAAACTCTTCATACCGACCAATGAATCAGTCACTGCAAAAAGATGATAGACCTTGTAAAAAAATGAATTCTTGGTTGCCTTTAACCAACGTAAAACCAACCTCCTGTACGTCACATGTGCATATCATCTAAAAAAGTCATCCTAAAGAATCTCATAAACCGATGCACTGAAAAGAAGAGAGGAACTTGGTTATCTTCATTAGGGTTTCACATGTAACGCTAGCTGACAACGACCAACAAGCCATCCAAAAGAACCTATAAAGGTTAAAAGCCTCATCACTGACCTCTCAAACCCACAAAAAAAAAACAAATAAAATGCAAATGGGAAAAAAAATTACACTTGCAAATAGTGTAAAAAGTTCAAACCATAAAATGTAAAATACAAACTACTTTATATAAAGTAAATATAATACTGAATGTTCAATACATAATACTATATAAATTATAAATACTTTTATCAGTCCTCTACTAACGCGTCCATTATCTGTTTCCTTATCTCCGTCATTTCGCTTGCTTCTTCCCCCTCTCTAATATAGATAGTGGAAAGATTATTCTCAACTTCTGACAGGGATGCCCAAGGTGGTTCTCAAATGCCTCGGGCGGTACATGCTCCTGTTCCTCGTCAGCCCTACGAAAGTCAATGTCACTACGGGATGGATGCCGACGAATATAATTGTTTATTGTCATCGTGAGAATCACAATCTACTTGGGGGAACGGGTAAGATGACATATCGTAGAAAATAACCCATTTCTTTTTCCGAATTCCTAAAGTCTTGATGACACCACGTAAGGAGCGCCTTTTATTAAACATCTTTATGCTGCGTGTTACATTGCTAGCACACTCGAAATCAGGTATGTGATATCTCGTATCAAGATAGGGTTTAAGATACCCTCGCTCTAACGGATATCCAACATCAACCAAGTAATATTTACATAAAATGTATTGATTAATTAGTATGAATGTTAAAGTGAAACACAAGAGTATTTGGGGCTCGAGCGTACCTTCGGGAGAGTGTGGGAAGTAGAGAGGATTTCGCGTTGCAGCTTTAAAAATTCTACTATCTTGCACACTACCCACCCAATTGGGTATGAAAAAAGTAAAACACATGTAGGAGTCACAAACAACCATGAAATTTTGTGTAGGCTTCCCGCAGCGTCAGATGAATGTGATATTCTCATTGTTTGGAACTTGCATTAACGTGAGTTCCATCTATTGCTTCAATGCAATCCTAATCGAAGGTGAACGAGTTTTAAAAGAATGACATACATTTTTAATATTGAATGCAATCATTATGAAACATTATCTTAAAGAACAACATGTACCGTGCATCGTTTGCAATCTTCATAGGACTCCATTTGAACGAAGGATTGGTAGGTTTAATTCCATTGTGCCTTGCATTGACACATTCTAAGATAATATGTAGAGTGTTATCGCTAATACCTCTTATGGAGTCATCCTCGATGACCCATGCAGTCCATGAAATATGTTTAGTTCCGCCAAAAGATCGTTGAATATATCTTGTTTCATGCAGAACATGTTATTGAATCTCGTCGGGGGCCCCGCAAGCAGCTTCTCAACCCATTTGTCTCTAACATATGAGGATGTCAAGCATTGAGAGCAATCTACGTACTTGTTGTAATGTTCGTAGATCAGGCATACAACTACAACCTTCCTATGACTATCTTTGTCTGAATCCATCAAGTTGAAAACATTAATAAATTAAACACAACCATGTCCCAAACAGCACGTACGTACTTGTTGTAATGTTCGTAGATCAGGCATACGACTACAACCTTCCTATGACTATCTTTGTCTGCATCCATCAAGTTGAAAACATTAATAAATTAACACAACCATGTCCCAAACAGCACGAATAACATAAATAACATTGTTGAAGCACAAATAACATAAAAATTGGAATAGTAGTAGGAATAAAAAATGTTCCAAGCATATGAGATATCCACACCATTATTAAAACAACACACAAACATAAATATCCCAAGCAGCTGTAATTAAAACAAGCTTTTCATATCTTCGTAGGTACGAAAACCTTTTGCGTTAGGGCAACTTCACGAAAAAAATCCCTTTGGGTAGGATCTTCAAGCAATTCTATCGCATACAAATACAACTCTTCCGAAAGTTCATCACTTGAATCAGAATTTTCAGAGCTTTATCTTGTTCTTTATTACCTTTGTGTGGGGGGGGGGGTGCGCTTAGTACTGCAAGAAGCCACTAGTTGAGATATCTGGGTTCTAAGGTAAGCAACACCGCCCTTCTTTTTTATTCTGAAACCCAAGATGCTTAATATGGCCAGCAGGCTCAATTTCACGGGGTTCTGGGCTGGGGACGTCATTGGATTCACCAGATTGTTCGACAGCTAAATGCTCGGTCCTGACACCAAAACTTGTTTCACTAGGGCCACATGCATATTTTTCAATCGTCACGACCCCTTCGAACATTTGATTCAACTTCTTCTCGAAGTTGGGTTCGAGGCCGCTGACTTTAAATTTTTTAAGCAGCAAGCACCACCTACAAAGTCATAACATGTACTTCAGTTGATTTTGACTTGGAAATTAAATTAACAATATTAAGGTACATGTCAGAGATGCTCATCGCAAATCTTTCCACCCACCACTCCTAGGAAACATCAATGGTTTGTTTTACTGGATCTCACCCCAAATCCATTGATCATCATTTCAATTCCTTCCAAACTTTCCAATCCTTCATGAGTTAATCTCACTTGTTCTTTAGTTGCATATTGTTGTATTCTCTGTCTGTACTTTCCTTGAATTTGTTGATAATATTTTGCCAACTTCTTTGTCGAAGAAGGTTGTGGGTCTATTATCAAGATCTATTTTCTTTAGGCAAATGTCACAAAATATTATTTTTGATTTCTCTATCCCATAGTGCAGGTGTAACAACCTCTTTATTCTTAGTCATCGCTTTGCTATGATAAGAAGAAAGATAAGTAAATGCAAGACAAAAAAAACATAGGCACAAGGCAATAATAACCCCAAGTCACAGCCATCAATAACCCCAAGCTACAGCCACCATAACCCCAAGCTGCAGCCAGCATAACCCAAGCGGAAACCACCAATAACGCTGAGCCACATCCACCATAACCCCAAGCCACAACCACCATAAACCCAAGATACACCCACCAATAACCCCAAGCCACAGCTGCCATAACCCCAATATACACCCACCAATAACCCCAAGTTACAACCTCCATAACCCCAAGATGCACCCACCTATCATCGCCATAACCCCAAGATACACTCACCATTAACCCCAAGCCACAACCGCTAATAACCAACCACCAAACACACCACCCACCAAAACCCCAAAGCCACACCCACCATAACCTCAAGCACATCCACCATAACCACAAGATACACCCATTGATAACCCCAAGCCACA